CACTCCCCCCCACCCCAACCCCACCCAGGGGAGCAGTGCTCCCTGGGAGCCTGTTGGAGATGGCAGGGCATGTTGCCATGGAACAACCCAGACCACTGCAGCAGCACTGCCTCAACTCAGTGATGTTAGTTATGGGAGGCCAACGTGGGCTTTGCTTGAGCACAACGCTTCATAAACAAATCTAGCCCTGATCTTCTCCACAGTTTGTGCCCCAGCAATTCTTGAAAAATAAATGATTTTGATTTCACACTGCTGAGTCATCAGACCCAGCAGCTACTCATCAACCTGTCATCACTGGGGTTTGAGGGGAGTGTGGACAACAATAACGTTAGATACACCAAATCATAAAAAAAAAAAAAAAAGTTCGATGTTATCAAGAAAAAGTCTACACAGCAGCAGAAGAAGGCTGCCAGAATGTCTGTGCATATAATCTAAGTATAGGCGTGTAACAGTCACAGGGGTGGAAAGGCCTGCATAGGAACCATGGTGTGTGTGTGTTTAAGTGGGAGGAATAATGTGAGCCTGGATGTAACTTACATGTGCTGTGAAGCATTTGGGAACAGCTCAGCATACTGAGGTGCCGAGTCTTCGGGGCCATGAGGAGCCGCGTGACTAATGACCATCATCACAGGACGGTGAGGGTACATTCTCTTGGACATGCGGAAGAAATTGATGCTGTCGTTGGTGATCAGATCTGTGAAGTAGTCCTAGAAAAAGAGAGCAAAAACCATGAATAAATAGAAATGATTAAGTGCTGCAGAGCTAAAGTCAAGGCAGAACTGTGGAAAAATGCAAAACAACATAAGCTTTGATAAAACTGGTCCACAGTCTAATTACCATTACACATTGCTTTCCCTCATCCAGTCATTTTCATATGGAAAGGGGCCAGTGGGGGTATGAACAGGGGCCATTGAGTGCACTACAGTACCAATCTGCTGAATCAACAGCTGGCAACCTGCCTGTGTGTGTGCATGTGTATACAGTACATGGGCTGCTGCCTCATCAGTGAATCTCTGCACTGTTGAATGTGACACCACTTGATGATGACAGGAGCCTTGTACTCTCATATGGTATGTTGTTATGACAGCTCCAACCCTCTACTATTCTCTGGGTTATCCATTTGCATTCTCCTATTTTATCCCTTTTCTCTTAACGCATCTCCTTTTCTTTAGTCCTCTCTCATTCACTGTGAAGAATGCTGGCACACACAAATCAGCCAGAGTAACCTCAAAAAATATTGGCCTCCGACATTACAATGGAAATGAGCTGGAGTGAGCTATGACTTGAATATAGGAGACAGGAGAGATACAAGGTCCCTGAGGGTCCATGTCACATCTTTCAGTCAGACTTTTTCATAAAAAAGGGTCAAACAGAAAACTGAACTCCATTTACTAAAACCATTTTTCATTTGTGAGATAAATGTATAATTGATAAGCAACTGATTTTAGGCTAACTGTTCAAATTTCATTCTATGGAAAGCTGAACAGAAAATTTGAGTATTTCTGTATCTATTTACAGCATGAGTTGCTTGAAATGGCAGGTTCTAAGCACCGAGCTCAACTTGCATGTTGGCCATGGACATAACAGAAGGTCTGCTGCTCAGGATGCATGGCTAAGAGCATTACTGTGAGATATATCATAACATTAGCCATATGTACCACATAGCACTGTCAAGCTATCTGTGTACTTGATTTGTTGCTGTCTATACCCAAGGTGAAACTGATTTTCTTATTTTGCTTTCCTTTTTCCCCCCACATCCAAATGTCCAAACTTTAATTTTACATTAATCTGACAAATCTGATGTGAAATTGTAACATCAAACAATACACAGGTGTGACATAAAAAAACAACTTTATTCCAGCTGTGGTGAGGGAATCTGATTTTTCTTTTTATATGTGCATGTGGTCACACCCTGGACTACAATCACAATGGCGCTGCCACGTTTTACAATAGTAGATAAACCATCCCACCTGCAGTGTTGTCATGCCACTGCTTTTGCATCACACACAACAAACGGAAGGGAGTGCCAGGTTGAGAATGAATGTGTAAAGGGTGACTTCAATGAAGCGTCAGAGGTTGTTCTGGCTGATTCATCCTGTCTCTATTAAGAGGCTTTATAGTCAGTCCACACATGCCCATGGAGGCTGGTACCTACACATGGCAAAGCACTGCCATACTTTTTACTCAGTGTTGCCAGCTCTCCAAAAATGAGCCACTGCTGGTGAGCAGGGTAAGAGGAAGTGACACCATAATGGAGAAGGCCTGGCCTCAGCTATAAAATGATCAGGAAGGTGAAGAGTATCACTTTTCTTAGAACCATTTGGAGATGATTAGTACCAAGTGGCAGCCACATAAGGTTCAACTTCCCAGTAACATCCATTTAAACTGAGATTTGACATTTTAAGTTTTTAAACAAGCTACACGGTTTGACTGTTAATGCAGCTGGGCTTGGAATTTACAAGCTTTGTGGAGTTGTGTGTTAATTCCCTAACCTCTTGATCTCTGATCAGTGGAAATGATATCATCACTGATGACACCAATATGTCATTAACTAGTAGCACATTCTGCTTTGTGTTTTACTACAGCTGTCTCTATAAAATGTGAAGAAAGGGGTCATATTCTCAAACAAATCTCACTCAAAATGAACAACTCACAAAGGCCTTGACCTTAGTGAACTCATCCTCCTACAGATGGAAAATAAGATGGGAGCTAAATGGATGAAACCACCGGGTATGTGCCTCAACTCATCACAATGACTTGGTGTGCCAGCTGCACTCTGTGATTTGTGGTTGTCCAAGTGGCAGCAGGTTAATGGTTTTTCACAGTAAACAGCAAATAGTGTGTCCATTTGGTTTTAAACCACAGTCTGCTGACCAAGTCAATGTCATATAAACACCTTGGCCTCAGCTTGTGGGTAACTTTACACCTCAGGTCAAGTTGGCAGAGGAACAGCAGTCCAAACATTTGTTTGACCACCTTTTGGAACTTGAAACTTGACATGTATCCAAACTATAAACCCTCCTCACGGATTCCTAATATAACCAGGGTTACACTACTTGAGAAGATACTAGCACTGAGCTATGAAAACAAATTTGAGGAAAACTCCAACAATGCCATCCAGAGACAATTTATCTCCAGAATTTGACCATGTGAAATTGAATTTCTCCCTAAAAAGTTTATTTTCAAAGTACAAAATCCTTCTACCAAACTTCATAGTGAGACAAAAATAGCTGAAAACAAGGGCAGGGTGGCATTTATCACAGACACCACTGGCTTCTCATAAAGATGCTTCAATTTTACAGGGTCTAGATGCTGAGATAAGGTGCGTGATAATACAAGGATTGTGCATAAAAGAAGAAAGACAATGAAAAGTCAGTCATTCCCTTTAATTCTCAAATGAGAATCCCAGCCACAGCACTAGGATACAGTAAGTGAAGTGTTCCACTGCCTGTATTTATGAGTGGAACCTGCAATTTGTCAGGTGAAGTCTTTATTTTTAGATCATTAAGAGGGGAAAAATGAATGAGTGAGTCTCATTTTAGAAATTATGGGAACACATACCTTGGCATAATCTGCACCATGTTTCTCCTTGTAACCATTCCGACAGACAGTGTAATTATAGAAGCGAGAATTTTTTATCAATCCAACCCATTCACGCCACCCAGGTGGGATGTAGCTGCCATTGTACTCGTTGAGGTATTTGCCGAAGAAGGCTGCAGATGAGAAGAAGAGAGAGGTTTTTTGTCATGTCCATTTTCCCCCTGCAGATGTGAAAATCCTAATTTTGTGTGCATGTATGTCATGCACAACTTTTTTGCCATCTCTTTTTCTCTGGCTTTAGTGCACATCATTCTTGGATAGGCTGGGCAGAGAGCCAGCCTGTTCCAGAGACGGCTAATTGTAGACTAACGCATCAGCTCAAAAACCACAGGCTGCGCTGCAGCCCACAGGACCCCACTGAGCTACCCAGTCCAACGCCTGCCCATCACTCACACAAACACTGTCTGATGAGGGACGACAGCGACCTGGCGCAGTCACAGTATTTGCATTTCACACAGCAGACAGGGCAGTGGAGTCTAGCTCAGTGTGAAAACAGAAGGTCTGGGAGGTGATCTGAGCTGATAACAGCAGTGGCAGTACCCAACCATCATTACCTGAAAAGTATCAGTTTTATATAGAAAGAGAAAGCGCCACCAACACTACATCAAGAAGTCTTTAAAATACAGCAGACTTTTAATGCTGATTTCTGTATTTTAGTGTCTGTGTGTGTTCACCAACCTGTCCTGTAGCCAGTGTTGTTGAGGTAGACAGCGAATGAGCGGGGCTCATGCTGAGCTTGCCAGGAAGGGGAGGAGCAGTTTTCATTGTTGGTGTAGGTGTTGTGGTTGTGGACGTACTTGCCCGTCAACATGGAAGATCGTGATGGGCAGCACATGGGTGTTGTGACAAAAGCATTGGTGAAGGTAGTGCCTCCATCTTCCATGATTTTACGGGTTTTATTCATCACCTGCAGAGAACCTGGGAGACAAAATACAGTATGAAGATCAATGCTGGGTGCAGTGAAATCCTAAGTTTATTAATAATGTAAAACTCTGGTTATGCCAATACACATCTTGAAATGACAATTTTCTTTGATAAAGGAAAATTGTTTACTTATTTTCACATGATTAAACAGTTCAGCTTATTCAAATTGTGATAATTTAATAGGCCAGAAAGCCATTCAGCACAGGCTTATGGCATCTCTCTATTTCATGTGCAGAAAAACATTTCAGGAATTCTTGCGCAAACTCTCACAAAAAAAAATTTGATTAAGACGGTGACTATAGAGGAATGATGACTCAAATGGAAAGCAAACAGTGTCTGTAGAGGTCCAAGAAGACCAGGAGCTGTGCCAGCCTTACCCAACTCTACGTCCTGGTCATCAGTCATTATGAGGATGATGTTGGGCCGAATGTTTCTGCGGTCTCTCTGGATGCGACCTCTCAGGCCCTGTGCCCTGGGGGTGGTGAAGGCCCAGCTACAGGGAACCCAGTCCAGTGACAGCAGGGCCAACCAGGCCAGCCACTGCATCAGCATGGTGCCTCAGACAACAGGCCACAAAATGGTTAAGACAGGAAAATTAATGAACGGAGGGAGAAGTGGTCCTGCCAGGCTACTCACTCACACCCGTATAGTTCTCGCAGTCGTGGTTCACTGTGAGGAAACAGAAGCAGAAAACACATGGATACATTACAAGAGGAAGACAAGTAAACAAGGCAATTTTAAAGGAATATGATAGAGAATTACATCATGTTCTCAGAAAGAAAAGCCTAGAGTCCCTTTAAAAATGTTTCATCATATTTACTTCAGATAAATTGAGTGCATCTGGTCACAAATCATACTCACACAACAGTTTATGCATAAACACAGAAGCCAAAAAAGACTCTCCTGCACTGTAGCCCTCGATGATCCACAAAGGAAAAAACTTACCCAACAGTTCTTACGCATGTTGCGTGCTGACAGTATTCTCCCCTGAAAACAAAAATCCCTCCACATCCCTCAACTCTCATGAGCTGAATTGGAAAATCAGCTAGATCACATGAAAATAAACACCAAAATAGCTGTGAAGATCTAGAAACACATTACCTCACAGAATCCCAGGAGATCCATTTTGTTTGGTCTTTTCTCATTATATTCCTGTACCTTTCGTTGTGTTTTTCACTCTGTGTCAGATAAACACATTCACACACACAAAAAAAACTTTCCATTTCTACTGAAAAGCTGTTGTTCAGCTAAGTGTGCTGAAATCACGCTATTGGCTGTCTGCACTCAAACATCCACAGCCACTTTCCTGTGGGAACCAATCGCAGGCTGCCTTCCACCTGTCACTCATAAGTCACCCTCTGGTGAGTCGAGTGTGACCGGGGGCTGGTGAGGAGGATGGGATCATACTAGGGGCGGAGGGGCTTAGTGGGCACGACAGGCAGAGAGAAAGTTCCACAACATTAACCTCAGAGCCACTGTGGCTAATCACAGATTAGATTATGATTATGATCAAGTCACTCTGCAGCTTCTTGCTCATTTAGAATGACATGATTGGTCATACAAGGGTTTTAACTAAATGCCAGTAATATTAAGCTTAAGCCTGAGCTCTTGCCAACTTCAAAAGAAAGTAGTGGTTTATAGAATTTGGTTATCATGCTGTGACCAATAGAGGTCATACTTTTTAAAAACAAACTCCAAATAATCTATAAATCAACAATCTCAATGCAACAAGACTGTGCATGCAGTTAATATTGACAATTTTTCAATATAAATTATCAAGCAACTCTGTAACAACAAATAAAAAAATAATGGCTTGTGGCTGGGGATTAACCATGAAACTGTATTAATGAGTGCTCCATCACTGCTTGTGTAAAAGTGCCTTATGGCCAGCAATCCTGCTGAGCAGCACCATACTGCTCCCTATTCTGGGTTAATGGCCTGAAAACAAATGGCAGGTCTACGACACCTGAGCCCGATCAAACCCCACTGGGTGGCTCCACCTACACCCCAAAGGTGGGTGAAAAGGGTCAGTCTAAATGGGCAAAGAGCAGAAGATAGAGAGAAAAATAAATGGCTATTTACATAATGAATGGCACTTCAGATAATTGTATAACACATATTAAGGCTAAAATGATTTTTGGCATTAATAAACTATGTTGACATAGTTAAGGCACTAGTTATTTTATGAATAAAATATCTACTTTCACCTGAGCTTTTTCAGGCAGTGCAGCAGATGGTAAAAGGGGGGCCTTCCATAGAGTATTTTATCATGCAAGACCATTTCTACAGATCAACCCAAACATATTGTATCATAATTTTCTTTATTCAGCTAGATCATGCATGTGTGAACAAGCCTGCATCAGAAACATCTACTCAGTGATCTGTTAAAATCTATAGGCCACCATAAAACAACACCATCTCCAATTATCTTCAAAATCCTACACATTATCCAGACAAAGCTGTGGGTGAATGGCTAAGGAAAGTCATGTTCCTGGCCTTGCTCTACATTGTTTATCTGCTTTTCCTCCAGATAGAGGAGGATGTGATAAGCAGAGTTTCAGATTCGGGCTTCAGGAGCACTTTTTTCCGGCATTTCAGACTGGCACAGTGTCCGGGCCAGCCAGTCCAGTCATCATGACAGCCCTGTGCAAACACTGGCGCTGTTTGGACAAACACCCCCTCCAGTTAAGGATGGCAGAGTGCACGGAACCTCAGTGAATTACACACAGCACAAACTACTGTACAAACATATGGTGAGACAAATAATAAAAAAAAAAATATATATATAAATCATAAGACACTCACACATAAGTATTTCTCCCACAAAAACACATTCTCTTGCCGTGACGATCCAAGTTCTCCTACATACAGTACATGGGTGCTCTTCTGAGAAACAATAGATGTAGCCCAAATGTTTATTTCTGTCTGTGGAAGATCTGAAATCAAGTGTAAGCCAGTCAGCCAGTAATGACAGCACCCGGCGCAAATATAATTTTAGATGCCAACGGTTCCAAGCAATAGCTTCTTGATGCCACTTAGAGAAGTGAAAAAAAGAAGGTCCACTGCGATATCCAAGACAAACCTTGTGATATTGATGGGGTTAGCTACACTGGCATCAATGGCTACACTGTCTGAAACAACTGGCTAATAAAGTGCCACATATGATGGTCCAGGTCAAAGTTAGAGGCAAAAAGACAGAGCTGCGATAGCAAATGAGTGACGACCTTCATCTGTCCTTTGGGTTGCCTCTCATCCTAATTCAATTTCACCTGATCCCCTTTCCTACTGGATGTGCCAATGCTCTTTACCGAGGTCATCTGAAGTTCACTTATGAGCAGAAGGATTTCTAGCAGCTCTGAGCCTGCCAGAGGTCCCCCATTGACAGCTGTCATTCTCAAAGTGACCCCCCCCCCAAGAAAAAGCAATTATATAGCATCCTCAATAATGTCAATTTTCATGTTAATATGGGGCATAAAGTTGCTAGAGGAAACTGTCAGCTAAGTGACAAGACAGGGTTGTAGAGATTTGTGGCTGCCATTTATACAACAGAAATAAAATGACAGTAGTTGGCTGACTGTGGCACATGTTGCAAGTTTCCTGTTCACAGAAAAAGCCAGAACAATAGAGAGTGACTTTACTCACAATCAAAAGTACAACGCTGAATATTATAAAAATTACAGTGGCAAGAAAAAGTAATTTAACCATTCAGAATCAATTGGTTTTCTACAGGACTTGGTCATCTAAGTCAAAAGTATGTACAAACACAATGTACTTAAACACAATGAGCTAAAGCAACTCTGTCAGGAAGAATGGTCCAAAATCCCTCCTGAACATTGTGCAGGTCTGATCCACAGCTACAGTAACCACTTGTTTGAGTTTGGCCTCTCTATCTTAGACAGTTATCCAGTGGCTACAGAGAGGGTAGTGTGCCATTCATGCATTCTCTCATCTGCTACAGACTAGAAAACACAATATCAGGGCATAAAAATCAACGGAAGACATGTTAAACATGCATTAACTTTTTCAGAAACCCTTTGTTATTGCTGACATGATAAATACCTAATAGAGTCTATTCATTTCTATCTTAAAAACTATACCTTTTATATTTTAATGATTATTCCAGATTAGATAATTGGCAAACTGCTCATGTTAGGCAGTTTAATACAGCTTTATTCATTGCTGCTTATCAAGGAATAACAGCATAAGATACAAAATCACTTCTGGGTGTTCTGACAGGCTTAAAATGTTATACAGCTGTAAACATTGCTGAATGTGTTAAAATGGCAATTAGTGCACTGGTAAATGCACAAAACAATGAGTGACTATGGCGAAATCTGAAAGCTACAATATATTGGCTTCTGAACCTCTCTTCTCTTATTGCCACTGCTTCTTACAGTAATTGCCTCCAAAATCCGAGTTTCAATTTGTGTTACCAATTTCATGAACCCCATGAGAACCCTCAGAGAGAGTAGGCCCAGTTTTCCATGTCATTTTCATTTAATAAACCCTTCATTTTAAATAAAGGCCATATGAAGGGATTATGTTATTTATAGCTGTCATCTTGTGTGCTATAAGCAGAACACACTGTTATACAGCTGTGGAACAGAAAGGGTCTTTATTCCTGGACGGAGCCAGGGGACCAAGGAGAACATAGTTTCTCGTTCCTCATTGTTTTGGAAGATTAGCACTAATGACCCTTTAAATGAGCCTTTACTGTACTATCATGGTTAACTTAGGGAAGAAATATCAGGAGGGATATAAAATGCCCTGGGGTTCAAAGAAGTGGAACAAAAAGGCCAATATGGAATTTTCAGACAGCTGCCAGTTACATAAATGATGTGTAATTTTCAGATTGACCATGAACACTGTTGACTTTTAGCACACTTCAACACCCCACTAATTTACTTGCAGAAAACCATTCTCTTCTTTGGTATGTGCAGCACTGCTCAGTAATCTGGTATAGCTACACAAACAACTGGGCTTTGTGCACAGAGCAAAGCTGAACATAATAGAGTTGTTGCTTGTGTAACCATCCAGGGCAGCACTATTTGGCTGGTTGGCAGTTGTGCCCTCCATTTAGGCCCTCAAACCACACACCCTGCTGCACCCTGACCCTTCTCTGACCCGTGTGGTAATATGGCTTTGATGGTGGCTTGTTTAACCTAACCTCAGCAACCTGAGGCTACCCACACACTGAGGTTAAGAGGGGAAAACTCTGAGGGGGAAAAATGAGTGGAGGGGGGCTAAGTACAGAGGTATGGAAGGTAACAAGTCTTGTAAAGCCTGGTTGTGATTGGCCTGCATATTTATTCCAGCAATTGCAAACAGGCTGCCTCTGGCCTCGTTTCTGTTCAGTCAGCAGTGGCAGTATGTACATTCATCAGCTGTCAGTGAAAAACAGCAAACGCACTGAGCAGACACATAAGGAAATTCTTCTGCGAAAAACACACAGTTGTGAATCCACGCGTCCCATAAAGCCATGTATTTGTCCACTAATGTGCATCAATCAACGCAAACTTTGGATTTTGTTCAAGTTAGCATAGGGAGTCTGGAGGTGAGTGGGTTCATGTTCCCAAAACAAGATGTGAGACCCAAACCAGATGCCATGCCCCACTAAAGTAAAGCAGTCATTCATAAAGGTCCTTGCTATTAAGGACAATGGCCGTTTC